TTTCTTTTTTCTGATCACTAAAGTCACATAAAAGTCCAACTATCAAAGTCTCTAAGAAAGATGCACTAACATCCATCCAAGTTTTCCCTTTGCTGATTTTGAGGACTTGCATCTTTGCAAAAAAGAGTTAAGGGTGGAACAAAAAGGCAAATGAATATTTAAGCCACTGCTAATGAGGGCTTAGACAATGCTGGATCTACCTCAGCGCTTTCCTTACTTTGTTCTCTTGACTTGTGAAACTCAACCAGCCATTTACGACCAACCGGCTGAGACGGGGTAGCCAGCGTTTTTGTTGTTATGGAAACAGGAAACAGTAGTTTGGTAAGACGTTTGCTGGTGAAAACAAAACAAAACGAATTTCTGCAATTCAATAAACATCATGAGCAACTGTAGTTGTCTACATTCCCAACATGAGTAGCAAGACTAGGAACTGGGTTTGAAAAATCTAACTTCCCCAGTATACTTGGAATGAAAGAAATAATCTCTAAATTCTTATACCTGAATATCTGAGAAGCCGAACACTAATTTCTCAATAGCCTGCTTACTAAGTCCACCAGTTCAGTCACCAGTGGTGTGTAGATGAGCCAAGAGAAGAAGCAGGTATTTCACTGATTTCGGTCTCTCCAAAGCCTGGAGCCTCACTGAGCTTGCAAAATATTTCCTGGATGGAACCACAGACATACTGGAAAAGTTTTTTTACTTTCTTTCCCTGTATTTTTTCCTTGGCAGCAGTTACTCTAAGGAAACTGGCCGTCTCTTTGGCACAAGCAGTGTGAAGAGTTTTTGGCCACAGTATACACACGACTGCAGAAAAGCTGCATGACACCAGGCGACATCTCAGAAGGAACCCAGCTTGTGGGATCAATCTTTAAGACAAAAATGCTATCTCGGCGAGAACGCACATGACAGACCCAACTTCTGCTATAAAAATCCCTGGCGGGTCCTTCTCCAGTAGCAGCGCACAGATGTGTCACAGCTAAGTGGTCTCTGACCCTGCCATCAGCTAACTCCTTTCTCCCCTCTCAACTCCTTTCTCCCCTGCCAGCACCTCCCACCTGGATCCAGGCCTTGCTCGCGGTGGACCACTGTGTCAATTTTCATTTTGACAGCAGCGCTTCCTGACTTTTAAATTTTCCTCATCCACGATTAAACAATGGAAAGATTCTGGGGAAGCAATGTGCATCTGCTACCTTTGTTACTAGCAAGCTTATCAGAGCCAATTAAGAAGAAATTTTATATACATATGTATTATATGCAAATTTTATATACTATACATATCTATAGAATAAGTATTTCTAGTCTATAGCTTTTATAAATACCTAAATGCAAACTGCTGTGAAAAGATACAAGGGGTAGAATGTGTCATACCCTCACACACAGGGATGTCCTCAGAAGTGACTGCTATGTGACACACACATCCCAGGAAGCTGGCAAAGCCCAGCAGAGCACCGCCCCTGCTCCCTCAGCATGAGAATGCAGCTCTTGGCAGGCCCGTGCTACCAGGAGTCGGCAAACACTTTCTTCAGCTATGGGCCAAAAGGGACTCTGGCTGCAATCAAACTGCTGCTTCCTTTGTGTTTCTTACTCATGTCACCTTGGCAGTCACCGGTCAACAGACACTGCTGCTTCCATCTGTCAACACAACTCTGGGAAGAGAAACTCTAGCTCGAGGACAAGAACCAGGACAGACAGGTAGACGTACACATAGAAGGGACAGGTAAACATGCATAAACATAAGCACATGCACACGCAAAGGCTTTATATGAGTGGGGAAGAACCAGAAGGTGTTGAGTTTCACAATGATCTTCAAGTAAATCTCACTCAAAATATTGCTTATTCAGAGCAAAGAGTAGAAAACTAGCCAAGCCAGGAATACACCTCTGAGCAGCAATAATGTTTCCTTTGTTTTTCTTCCAGTTATCAGGGCCAGAAACCTCTTTACTCCTCAGTCCCATGAACAACTACAAATCCTGTGGGACCGCCTTCATGGTTCCTTCATTCATTCATGGACAACTGAGCGAATGCTCTCTTCTGTACTTGGACATACAACAGTACACAAAACGGGTGGGCCTCCTTTGGAGGTACTTGCTCCAATGAGAGATGTACTTAAGAGATAATTTCAACACATCAAGATGAGGACGCTGACAGAGACTACGCCAGGGTGCTATGAGCTCAAAGGACTCCTAACTGACATTTGGGCAGAGTGGAAGGTAGAAGGCAGGGGTAGCTAATATTGAGTTAATTCTATTATCACAGCCTTGGATTAGGAACTTTTTCTTGTGTGGACAATTGACTTGTTTTTTAAATTAGCCTTTTTGCCTTTATACTGACCTTTAGTAGACACTCTTATCCTCAAGATTCAAAGTAAACTTCACAGAATAGGGCTCTCTGTGATTTGCATCCCCACCCATCTCCTGCCAGACCTTCTCACACTTTCATACGGAAGACAGACACACGCAGCCTCCTCTTTCCTCCCCTGTGCCATACTCACTCCATCTGTTTTTCAAAGCTAGATCAAGCTGTCCTCCCTTTGGGAAGCCTTCCTTGATGCCCCGCACTGGCACAGGCAAGTTACTGTGCACATGTGAGGAATTATAGACACCACAACAGCCTGATACTAAACATAGGCTATTTAGTTTGGGCTCCAACTTGGGTGGTCAATGGCCCTAATTAACAATTCTTATTTTATGAGTGCTCACCTAATATGACATTCCTGAGAAAGCTACACAGCCTTTCGTTTGTTGACCAATACTTAAGACTTTGCAAATTAGCTAAAAAACAAAGAAACAAACAATTCTTTTAATTTATTCAATTAATGGCTTGTTGATCAGGCAATGGCTGTGACTCACCGTGATGGCTGATACTGTCAAGAACTGAGAGGCTCTATACAAGAGGCTAATTTTAATTAGCATAGGTCTCAATTTAATGTGGTCTTGAACATCGAGCAGAAAAGTATAATCAAAAGATATACAAAAAAGTTGTAAGTTAGATATAAAAGGGGGCACCTGCACCATGTTAGGAAAAAAATGCTGTTACTTTGTTACTCTTATCCAGGTAAAAAAAATCCACAAATATATTGCCTCTAAAACCAAGGAGGCCTCTCACAAAAATTTTTTCCATCTTGTCTTTCCCTAGGAGGCTGGGTCCTCTACCTTCTCCCCCTGGTGGGACCCCTCATACTACTTGTTATTTATTTATTTGCTTATAGTTTCCTGTCTATTTAAACTTATTTCAAAGTGTCTTCAATCCAGTTTGTGGACCTTCACTACCAGACAGCCTTGTCCTGGCTGAGGCCCCTGGCACCACCTTCTATGTGGGCCCAACCTGTCATCCCTACAGCAGTCCCCACCACAGTGCCTCTAGTCAGCACAAAGCAGTCTAAGAGAGCTGTCAATCCCTAACAACTAAAAGATGGGAATGATGGATTCCACCCATGTGACTCAGCACGGCGCCTGCCCAACATGGCACTCAGCCCTAGAGTGACAGTGTGTCCCTTTAATGCTAATTTCCACTTCTTCCAAACCTGAAGTTGAACTTTCTGCTTTTTGTGCAAGCACCAATGTTCCCCCAATCAGCTGTCAATACGTCTTTCTGCCCACCCCTTCAAACTCCACCCTGTCAAATCCCATAAAAGCCCACTGCTTGTTTGTTTGCCTCAGAGGGATCTTTGCACTCTTCTGCAGTCCTTCTGTGCTGCAATAAAGGCCCTCCCCTTTTTTTTGGTGCTGGAGATGGAACTCATGACCTCAGGCTTGCTGCCTTAGGCAAGTGTTTGTGTCTCTGTGCTAAATACCCGGCCCAATAAAGGCCTTTTTGCTTAAAAAAAAAAATCATTGTGACTACTAGAAATAAACTCTTAATGATTAAAAGATATTCAAGATGTGTAGCTTGGATAAAATACTTTAGAGATAATCCTGACCCCTTGCACATAAAGGGCTTAAGTCCCCCCTGATTATTCTGGCACTTAGGAGTGCTACCCGGACCCACATTCCACCATGTGCTCCTGCTATCGCGTACCATTCTGCAGGCATGCACTGGAGTAACATGAAGTTGAGGAATGCGGGCTTGCTCTAGCTCCTTGAGTGACGGCCTGATGGTTCTAAGTAGCAGTAACCATGGCCTTAGACTTGTCTGTCCTTGCCGCTTGACAGAAGTGCAAGAGATTTTCATGTACACTATGTATTAGGGCTATCCAGACAGCATATTTTGTTTTTATTCTTTGCTTTTGAAAAAGTGTCAGGGGATTCTACAGGCAGAGAAAAGGAACCTGTTTTGCCACACAGCTTTGAAACTGAAACCCACTGTTAGTCAACAAAGCCAGCAAGTTGTTATTTTTGTTTCAGAATCCTTTGCTGACAAGGATGGGAGCTGCAACTGAAAAAAGGGGCAAAGGAAGAAAATGTTTCAACTATCTGCCAATGAAACATAGTAAGAGAGAATGCAGCAGAAATATCAGTGCGTTCCGGTGCCGCAGTGGAGAGAAAAGGATTTCAGCGGTTCTCCCGAGTGTCGTCTGAGCACTGCTCAGGTGAAGGACTCTGAGCCGGTGAGCACCTCACGGCTTCCAGGCAGGCTGGGACTCAAGTGGCCGGATGACAGGTCTCATCCATGGGTGTTTACTGAGGACCTCTATATGGCGTGTGCCCAAGTGTTTATATTTTTGGCCAAGTGTTTTAGACACAGCTATTGAGAGGGAAAGCACATTACTGAAAAAGGTGATACAATTTCCCCTCTGAATACCTCTTTCTGACACTGGTACAGAGGACAGGAATTCTAGAACACTGATAGTCCTCAGGTGCCAGGAGACTGGTGCTGGGCCCCAAATCCCACGTGGCTTTTCTGAAAGAGCCAAGAAGCCCTGGCAACATGTTATTAAAGCATCCAATCAGAAGAAACTTCTGACAGTGTTAAGATGATTAAACAGCACTGCCATTTTGAGATGTTCAAGCGAGAAGAAAAAACACACAGAAGGATTTTTTTTTTTACACTTCAAAACTCACCTTCTTAGCAGCAGGATCTCCTTTAGACTGATGGTATGATGGAGACATTTTTACCTAGGGAAAAAAGGGCAAACATTTCAACATCTATTTAGTTATAGCCTAGGTTTATTTAATCTGTGGTCAATCAATTCAGCTAGGTTTGGGTTGTAGCTGACTTGGTAGATAACTTGGTTGGCATGTGTGAGGCCCTGGGTTTAGTTCTCAGCACTGCCAAAATAATAAGTCAAACCAAGCAAAAAACAAACCCAAAATACATTCCACTGGTATAAGTGACATAAAACATTTTCAGAAGAACAATGAGCACACTTTATATGAAGTTTCCTCACAGTTTTTCTAGAGATTACGAAGTCAGTAGTGAGCCAAGATAAAAATAAGATTAGTGTAAGAAAAATGAAAGAGGTGCTTTTAATCAAACAGCATGGAACTGAAGAGCTGCAGAGCCTCAGTGGTACCGAGAGCAGATGAGACAGCAGTAAGCAGTGGCGGCATTTGTACAGAGGTCAGTAGGAAGGAATGAACTTGATGCAATAATACAGACAAATCTCAAATAATCAGGCCGAGTGAAAGAAGTCAAAGTATACATGTTATACATACTTCATATGTCCAATTAACCAAGATTCTAGAAAATGAAAACTAATCTATTATGACAAAAGGCTCATCAGTGGTTGCCAGGGAACAGCAAAATTTTGATGGTGATGCATAGGACTGTTATCCTGATTATGGAGATAGATTCATGGATAGATAAGTGCATTTGTCAGGTTTGTAGATTTTACCTCTTTATGGTTTATATTAATTATTATATCACCTCAACAGGCATTGTAAGAAATCTGTAAGATGCCGCTAAAACAGTGGTTAGAAAGAAATTTATGGTCTTACAGAGTATCTTGGAAAATAAAAAGGTTTGTGTTTCCAACTTGAGAAACTAGAAAGAGAAGACCAAAATAAGACCAAAATAAGCACAAGAAAGGAAATGAAGAATAGAAATCAGTGAGCTAGAAATCAAGCAAATCAGAAAACACTAATAAAGCAAAAGCTGGTTCTTTGAAAAAATCAACAAAATCGGTAACAAGTTAAGTGCAAGGGATACATTTCTTTAAAAGACAGAACTTGAAAAAGGAACCCAACATGATACAAAAAATATGAACAGCTTTCTATCAAAGAAACTGAATTTGTTGAAAATGTTCTCCACGGGGCCTGGGGATTTAGCTCAGCGGCATAAGCGCCTGCCTTGCAAGCAGGCAGTTGTGGGTTCGATCCCCGGTACCGATAAAAAGGAAAACAACAACAACAACAACAACAACAAAAAGTTCTCCACAATAGTCCAGGTTCACGCAGTTTCAGCAATGAATATACAGTATTCCAATAGTAATATACAGACTAACGTACAAAATCAGAATATCACTTACAAACTTACAAAGAAAAATTAAGACCACAAGTAACACAAAGCTAGTATCTGCCTAGAGCAAAGTAGAAGTCTGAGCACTTGAGCAACGGCACACAAGGTTGCAGGCCTCTCCCAACCTGAAGCCTAACTGTAAAAGCCGACAGTGAGAAGATGATGATGTTTCCCAGCGTGGTCACATCCCCATTCAAGTAGGACCAGGCTTTTTTGCTTTTCTCCTCTGACTTCAAGAATAACTTCAGAAAACATACCTCAGCTCAAAGATCAAAACTGCTGGCTGTCCAGATTGCCCTTTCAGATTTAGCAGGTCTGCAAAAATTAGACTTGACAGTCCCTGCTGTAACACACTGTGACATTAATACTCTGGAATTCACTCCAGATGTATGATGTGGCTTGCAAAAAGTGATCCAATTTTAACTCCTGCTATGCTCTTTTTGAAAAGGGAGAAAATAGATTTTCAAAGCGAAGTAGATATTTAAGCTTAAAAAAATGACCTCATGAAAGGATCTGCAGACTTTTTAAAACAAGCCAAGAACTAGACGTGGTGGTGGACAGTTTATCTGAGAAGGCTGTTCTCTGGAGATTAAGTCAGGGAGTGTTTGATGTGGCAGCAGGAATGGGTCAGCATCCCTCATGAAAGGTCTTACTTCTCACTTAACAGCGTTCCTTCTAGAAATGCCTTAGGCAGTGTGGCTTAAAAGACACACTGTAAATCCAGGTGTGCAGACACTAGGTCTGGGATGTAGAAGATACATGAAGCTAAGGCCTACTAATGCTGAACTTTTGTGATCTTAGTTAATAAAATGATTCCTGACTTCAGCAATCTGAGCTGAAGTCTAAAAGCAGGAAAACCCTCCTTATCAATTTGCTTTCTTTTTTTTTAAGCCTTAATTGCTCTGCTCAGTTCACCACTGAATATTTTTCTACAGTGTGATTTTTCATGGCTACAAAGCAGTTCATTCATTGTGTAAAAATGCTATAACTAATTTAACCAAGTGTGAGCTAATGGGGCATTTTGGTTGTTTTATTAACTATTAAAAATGTTAGCACAAGCATCCTGGTACGTAATACTTGGTACACAAGCTTAATTATTTCCGTGGACAGATTCTTGTAAGTCCTTGCTTCAAAATAGTGTAAACATCTGAAAGTGTTTATTACTGTTTTCTCTTAACAGGATGGGTCCAAAATTTTTTTCCTGTAATTCCAAGAAATTTTCCTATAACCCAAGACATTTTTAAACCAAAAGGGTTGCTTTAAAAAACAGAACTAAACTTCTGGCACCAAGAGCCACCTGGTATCAATACCTGAATTGAGCTGAATGAAGCAAGGCTCTGCACTATCGTTATCCCACATGAGCATGCAGGGATGGGATGATGCGGAGCCACACTAGGACGCTACATAACACAACACGTGCACCACAGCGCCTTCCTTTAGCACAGCAGAGGTGCCAGTGCTTCCATTTTCTTAAAATGAGAAGTCAGCTATCCTTGTTTTATTTTTGACTCCTTTTTATTGTACATTTTTGTACAACTGTATGTTTTTGGTTTTAGCAGGCTCACTATGACTGCGAAGTGGTTGGATATGGTTTATATATTTATCCTGTGAGGCTTTATATTTATTATTGTAGGCTTTTTGGATCTGTGTGTCAAGGTTTTCCACCACATTTGGGAAAATGCCAGATATTATTAGGTCAAATTTTTCCAGACTCTGCTGGTTCACTCCATTGTGTTCTGGAACTCTAAATACACACATGCATGCATATGTGTGCACACACACACGTGCAGGCACACACTCCACACACCAAGCTCCTTGATACTGCTCCATGCTATCGCTCTCCACGATTTGTTTCTTTGCTTCAGTTACAATAATTTCTATTGCACTGTCTTCAAATTTAATGGTAACATTTTTCTGTTAAAAGTTTTGACATCTAATGAAAATGTTATTTTAGATATGCTTTTTAGCTTTGGAATTTGCACTTGTTTTATTTCTTAGTTTCTATTCCCATGCTGACAGCTCCCCATGTGTTCAATTACCCTGCCAATTGATCTCTTCCTCTGACTTCTTTAACATTTATTTCCATTATACAGTCCTGAACTGCCAATTCCAACATCAGGGTCATTCACAGGCCTGCTTGTACTAATGCTTTTTCTGTTGACTCTATTTTCTTTCTTTGCCTCTTGATCCTATGGTAGTTTGGGCACCAGCTATATTAGATAATTTACTTTACTCTAGCTCTCAGTTTTAAAGGAGCCGTTGGTCCTAAACTATGGTTTGTTAGCAGTTTCAACACAAAATGTGAGGTATGTATCAATCTCTCCAATACAGCAGTGTTGACCCGGAACACTCAGCACTAGGCAGCTTCTGAAATCTGCTCAGTTCTTCCATCTCCCTGATGTTTTCTCTTGAGTTTCTTGAAGTAGTGTTGAATTTAGAACTCTGTAAAGAGAATCTGAGGCTCCATCTTTTTAACTCTTCCTTAAGCTCCTCCTTGAAATATAGATGCTTTAGGGGCTGGGGATTTAGCTCAGCGGCATAGGCACCTGCCTTGTAAGCAGGCAGTCGTGAGTTCAATCCCTGGTACCGATAAAAAGGAAAAAGACAAAAAAAAAAAAAAAAAAAAAAAAAAGAAAGAAAGAAAAGAAAAGAAAAGAAAAAGAAAAATACAGATGCTTTGGTTGTTGTAAACTTTGACTTCTGTTTTCTCATTCCAGCAAGAAAGTGACTTTCTGCTCAAGCTCTTTTTTCACAATGCCAAGGTAAACCAGGAAGTGCTACAGGAAAAAGCCAGCTTGCTCCTGAGCTTCCCTAGTTTGATTACTTTTGTGTTCCTTACAGTTCGGCCTGCTTCTTTGTTGTTGCTCTCTAGATAATTTAAAAAAAATCATCTTTGCCAAGAGCTTAGAATTGTTATTGGCAGAAAGGGTCATGCAATATGGATCCCTCTGTCCATTACTGTTACTGTTACTCTGAAACACTCTTACACGTTGGTGTATTCAGCCACATGAAGCTGATCCATAGCTTGCTCAAGCCACTCATTTCTTTCTGTGTGTTCTCTGTATCAGCTGAGAAAGTTTCTATTGCTATACAGTCAAGTTCATCTACTATTCCTACTGCAATGCCATTCTACTATTAACCCTTATCTAGCAGAGTCTTCTTTTCAAAAATGGAGGTTTAATCTCTAGACGTCCTACTGGGTTTTTCTAACTTTCATATCTTGAGTCAATGTGTTCTATCTTCTAGGTTCTTGAACATGATTCTAAATGTCCTTGTCTACTGATTCCACTATCTATGTTGTATCTGGGCTACTTCAAAACAATTATTTTCCTCCTTTGTATGGCCGGTAATTTTTTTTTTTTTGTACTAAGGATCGAACTCATGACCTCGCACTTGCCAGGCAGGTGCTTATGCCGCTGAGCCCCATGCCTGGTAATTTCTGATCAAATGCCTGACACCATGAATTGTACCTTGTTGAGTGTTGAGTACCTTTTTTTTTTCTTAGCATATTCTTGAGCTTTGTTCTAGGATGTGGTTCACACACTTGGAAATAGATGGTTTGATCTTTTTAGGTTTTGTTTTTAAACATTGCTCACAGGATGAAAACCAATTAGTCAAGAGCTAAGATCCCGTTTAGTTCTTTCAGTATCCATGTGAA